TTTCTATTGCTATGCACATAGAATCTGCAAAGCAGAGAAAACATCATCCAGGAAAATCTACAAAATGCAGCACTTTTTGTGTACAAACCAATGTTACATTGCGGATTCTTCCTGAGATGACATCACAGTTTTGCTCATGAATATGGAAATACTCATTAGTATAAAAACCAAAAAGGCATTAAAGTATCCTTGAAAAAGTAAAAGCAAAGTTGAAAATATGCTTTACTGAGGCACAAAGGTGCATTTTACAGGTTGGTAATCAAAAACACTGAGTGCAGACTACCTTTAACATAGACGCACCTACCACTCTACCATGACAGGCTTAAGCTATTATTTCTATGTGAAATAATTAAAAATTCTAACATTCTAAATGTATTTGTTTTTTCGTTTTATGCTCCCAACAACTGGGATGAGCCAAGTCTAAAACAGTAGCTGTAAAATACAGTGGCTTTGATACATGTTAACTGATACAGTACATGTGTGTGTACATATGATTGAGCCATATCCTATGTGCATGTAGCGAAGGGGCTAGACTGTTGAATGGCCCATATGGTCAAAACTAAAATGTCATCAATGTACTATTACACAGAGTGGTATGCCACACACATGGCTTAGAACATGTACCGCATCACGGTTACTCTCCAATGGCAAGAAACAAACTTTGGTCAGGAGTCCAAGTTCTCAACGACTGCAGATGAACGTGCGGTGCTCCTACGCATGACAAAAAAACACAAGAGGAAAAAATACACAGGTCTCTCTTCTTACCCTCCCTGGGGAGGAGGGGGGGGTAACAGGAGGGGCTGTCAAGCAAGGAGCCAGAGTCACGTTCCCACACTCTGTAATGCTTTGTGGGGGTGAAAACCTTGCCCCTTTGTTTTTGGGGGGAATTTTTATTTTCAAGGGCTTGATGAATGGTGGCAAGTTCACGGCCTTGCATGGCTGTCAATAAGTCCCCAGTGAGGCGTGACTGATACGCCAGTTTATTGCACTCAGTCATAAGAGCTGGTCCTCATTGTAGATGTTGCCAGCCCTGCAGTGACCACAGAATTTTCAGGCAGCCACACTGATCTTTCCCATGTACTCTCTTATGTTTACCTGTTCATGTTGAAGTTTTTTTTTTTGAGGAAGGGAAGCTGGCAGTTTGTTACACTATATTTTCTCGTGTATTAATTTTCTTAATTCTTAATTCAGCTGAAATGCGTGTTGATTCTTTTATCTGCCTTTCCAGATTTGCCCCCAAAATTTTGGGTACAAAATGCCACCTTCTCTGGTTAAACTGAACCTTACAACTCCATGCATCAGTAGTTCACTTTCCTCCACGGAATCGCCCATTAGCAATAGGTTTTTGTTTCTTTATATTCCTGCAGAATTAAAACATCACCAACTTTCTTGCACATTAAAAATGGCTATTAAACACAGGATACGGCAATGATTACAGTGAGTCCAGTAACATGACTCTTGGTTTATTACATAACTTGTTTGATATTTCCCACGAACAGTCTGAAGACGGAACAAGATAATCAGTCTGGTCACGGGCCACGGCCAATGATCCTTGGTGTGGGCATAACACCCCAACTTTCTCCAGTGACTACGTACTTAAGGTAGGCCAACACAGTGAAGAGGGCATGCCCCAGCTGTGTTCGGAAAGAAACACTTGGCAAGACCAAGAACATGGGCAAGCAGTAAGTATCATGATATTATATAAAAAATGAGATATAAGAGAAAAGGAACCACAGTACCGGTAAAGGAAAGGAAGGATACCAGTAGACTGCAAGAAAAAATGACGAAGAGAGAAGGGAAGTGACAGTGCAAATGAAGTGATATAATATTGCAACCCAACCATGACACTAAAAAAAAAATAAAAACTGGCAACAGCCCAATTCTCCCAATGTTATTCAGTGACACGCTTTCTATTCAACTCTGCTGGATACTACATGTACAGTTGGGAAAATGGTATGCCCAACTGCATCAATACAGTTTAGCATGCCCCGAGTAGGCACTGGACAAAGTTTGGCAGTTTTATGACAAAGTTTGGGTGTATATGTACATGTAAAAACATTCAAAACTTACAAAATAACTCAACATATTTCTTGTTCATCTCTTGAAATTTTAACCAAAAAAAGGTATGATTTCTCTGAAAGGCACTTTCAGAATTGGAGGACAAATTACGAACAAAAACAGGTCTGGTTGGTAAACCAACTTCAAGACGAAATTTTTCCAGTTATAAAGTCATGCCAATCTGGACCAAGACCTCACAAAATCTCACCACAAAACAATATGTTGTGTCATCAAACCAAAATGGCTACTCACTGGGATAAGTGTGATCTCAACTTGCTCTAAGGAAGATCATTTGTAACAAAAGATTGAAAGATTCTGAAGACTTGAACCGTCCAAAAGACATTGCGCACATAGGGGGAAAGATCAATCTCTTCCTCTCCAAAATCACTGAGCAGAATCTGTAGGATATGGGTTCCAGTTTTGAGGGTGGATGAGAGACTCACTTTTGCGATGCTTTTTTACACAGTGACAGACGAAAATGACAAGTTTGCCTGTTGCACTGATCTCCCTACCACTGATAGGGAGAAGTCTCAGTGTCACCGGTAGTATTCCTGCCATGTGCTCCGTATGGACATCTGATACATGCTTACATGCGCATATATGCAAATTTTATGCAAAGTAGAGTACCAGAGCCAATCAGAGCCATTATAAAGTTATTTTCTGCTCAGATGGTGACAGAGGATGCTGAGTGGTCAGAAGTTGTCAGCTGCTTCTAAAGGCAGAAATTTATGATAGCGTCATTGAAACGTGCTCTGCTGTTATGACATGCATGAGCATCAATCAACTTCAACCTAAGCTCAAGCCATGATAATCAAGCGGATTCAGCCAGACATGACAACATTAAACTTACTGGCTTCTACTGAAAATCTTGTGAGAACAACGGTGGAGGGAAGCAGAAAAACAATTACACTGGACACAGACTCCAACCCAACTATGTGATTTTTGCATCCACAAGATGAGATTTGGACCTTGAGGATTTTGGACTCTGTTCCCCTTCAAAAATATATCTTCCAGAGCTATGACTAGAGAAAAAAAATGTAACATCCTACAAAGAAGTTAAGAATTGGATTTAAAACAATCCAGGATATTATTGTGACTTTTTTGGTAGAAAAAAATTTACGGGGGAGCAAACCCCTACAATTTGATCTGACAGCCATGACAACCACTTTATAATGTCACTTTGCAGCACTTTGAAATTAATATCTCACATCAAAATCACTGCATCGGGGTCAGCTCATAAGTCCGATGCCTCATACTAAATGGTCCGACGACTCATAAGTCCGAAAAATGCATTTAAAAAGTCCGTAAGTCCAACACCTTAAAAGTCCAACAATTCTTTATTAGTTTATTTCAGCCTATAGATCCGACGCCTCATTAGTGAGACGCCTCATAAGTCTACAAATTCAGATTTTGAGGCGTCACACTTATGAGGTGTCAGACTTGCAACACGTGCCCACTGCACTGGAATGATGAGCAATCTTAAAAGCGTGCGTGTATTGTTCAGATGAGAACACTAATGCTGTTTCATGGCCAGCTTTATTGAAAAAAGTAGGAACATTTCAATCAGCAAAATATAGGGAAAAATTCCACACAAACGCTACAAGACTAGTCTGACAAACGGAAAGAATTCCATATACGAAGTTCACTTTTTAGGAGAAATTTTTGCTCCAGGACAGATTTAAAAAGGGGCGACATTTATTTTTGGGGGATAGAGATGTGAAAGGGGGTTCAGTAACTTAGGGGGACAGGTTTAAAAAGAATAAAACGGCAAAAAAGAG